GGGCCATTAAAGCGAATCGGTCCACCTGGACACTTCGCGGGTACATTAGACATAATCGGTTACATCAAAAAGGCGGGGATCTGGCACTGGAAAAGACAGTGACCTCGTCAATATCTATGGGAAATTTAATCTTCGTTAATTGTCAAAAAAGGAGTATTTTACTGACTTTAATAGCGATAATGAGTTGCTGCGAACTACTGAAGTCCGAATCCGAGATCGTAAATACTATTTATTGAGGTCAACAACAACCTAGTTATAGAGTAATATGTTAAATTTTTGAAAGAGGGATAAATATTTTTTTGAAAATATGTTTACAAAATTTCAAACAAAAAGATATTCACTCATAATGAATAGAATAAGACTCAGAAAAAACAAAACACCGATAAATCACACACAATGACTAACGCAGATCGTACAGACCTTGGCAGCACCAGCCTCAAATTGCTCCATTGGGAAAAGGGGACAATCCGGGGCTGAGAATATTTTTGGACCAGATACGGTATGGCGAGTGCTACAAGAAACTTTCCGCAATTGGAAAAAGACCGGTTAGCAATCGCAAACCAACATTGAGTAGGGTTGCAATACTGTTTATCATGCAGTACAATTTCAACTATTTTCAGTCACAGCATGCACGAAAAAATCCTCTCTTGCACTTATTTGATAGCACATTACGCTTTCTTTAAATTTTATTCTTAAAGGAAGGGCCTCCTTCGGTTATAAAAACATTTCTAATTTTGAGTTTGTTTACGACTGTGCGGTGTTCATTCATAATACATCGGATGCGTCAATTTGCTAATGTTGCCCTTGATATATAAAGCATGATCCATGTTTATTGCAAAATTTTATGGGAGCTATGCAACTACTTCCTCAAACCGTAGGCAAGAACGTACATTTCCTTAAGCAGGATGAAGGCAGCGTTCAGTTTGTAAAACTTGAATTCAGTTCTAGAAGTCGGTATGTTTCAAAATCAATCGGCAATTAAGAAAATTTTTAAAAGCGAAGGAAACACTTCTTTTAAGAATATAATTTAGAGAAAGGCAGTCAAAAGCAATGCTAAAAATGCATACAAATAAAGAAGCAATTTTTTACAGAATCAACTTTTCCGCAGCGGTCAGAAAGAAGCCTATAACAAAGTCGGCGTCCTAGCGTGCCTGAAAATAGCTGAAATTGAATTATATGATAAACAGCATTGCAACCCTTCTCAATGCTGGTTTGCGAGTGATTACTGGTATTTTTCAAATTGAGGAATGTCTCTTGTAGCACTCGCCATACTGTATATTTACTGTAAAAGATTAAAAATCTATTTTTTGTCAAAAACGTATCAATAACGACTAGTTTACACTTTGACCTTTGACGAAGTAATCAAATCAGAAGTTTAAATGAGCAAAATGAGACTTCCCGCTGCGGAGATATTTTTTCCGAAGGCGGGATAATACGGATTGAAATTCCTCGTCTTCGAGCCCTGTCCAGTACTGGATTGGATAGAGCTCGAGGGCTGGGATTCCAATTCGTATTTATACACCTCCGGAAAATAGTTCCACAGCGAGACGGCCTTTTTTCTCATTTTACCTTCTCCAAATTTGTTTGTCTTGTCAAACAACAAGTCGCAAAAGATAGCTATTTTTACTTTTTGACAAAGAATAGATTTCAGACAAATTATACAGTGAGTGTAGTTCGTGCACAAAAGTACTCAGCTCCGGATGCCCTTTGATTGCCCCGGACAGTCCTGTGGAGCACTCCAGGACTGATTGCAAAACAACATGCTGTTTCGCAATCAGTCACTCTGTTGCAACAGAGTGACAGAATATGTACTTCGATATATTTTAATCTAAACATTTTCGGCCTGTTCCGTTTCTAGTTCATAGATCCATTCATTCTCTTTAGTTTATTTAAAGTCTTTGAACGGGGTTCGCTTACGGCGTTTCAAAGTAAAATTATCAGATTGCGCGACATCTCATATATGTTTGTCAACGGGTTATAATTTTGGCGTAGAAAAACAATATTATTGCTTTATTAGTTTAAGGTTTATCTTTATGGCATATAACTTGATAGATTTGTGGTTGTTAGCTGACTGCACCCTTTTTTCCGAGCATACTGCATTATCTAAAATGTGCACTTTGCTCAATTTTGTGAGTCAGAAATTGTCATTCTAGTGTCCCATGTCTGATTGAAGTGAAACTGTGTGTCTTAAGACATAAATGAGAAGAATTGGCAATCTCGGAAATAATATGTATAATATCCTGAGGTTTCGAAAGTGTACCGGCTTGCATCATCGGAGTTGATTTCTGTACGCGCCTCGGCGAAATTATAGCTCTCAAAATTGGCGTCTGGACGGCTCTGCATCTATTGGTGCTGGATACTCTGCGGTGAGGGGGGGTGGAGGTCAATCGTCGGCCTGCTGGTCACTGTTCCTCATCCTTGCCTAATCAGAAAGGGAGGGCGGAATTGGGATGGCAACGGTCATTGGTCTTCTTGCTCTCGTCCCCCGTCTGCGTCTGTTTGTCTAATTGGCAGTTGCTGCGTCGGTACGAATGTCTCATTATCGTGTGGGTCTGTGTTTAAGCCCCACAGTAGGCTTTGTGGGTCCACGGTAGCCTTTACGACTGCAAGGATGTCTGGTATAGGCTCCTGTACGCCTGTATTTCTGGCCCGGTGTAGGTTCGCTAGTAGTCGCGACGCGCCTAGCTTCCTAACGGTGATTTTGTTGGGTAAACCGTACGTGTAAGGCCTGGTAAGGAGAATCGTACAGTGGTTTATTAAATTTGGTGCGATGTGCCATGCTTTAAATGTTTGTCTGGCTGTTTGATTACTACCCTGGCCTAGGATTTCACCGTTCTTAAAAGCGAATACGTGTCAAGAGGCTGCACAATGTTCCCGGTGGCTTACTTGGTCTCACGCGTGTGGTTATGATTAACAAAGGGGACCGAGAGGAAGATTAGCAACCAGAGCCTTCCACACCAAACGTGCTCAAGCAAAAAAGGGCAACGACTGTGGTGATTTGCTCAACGGTCTCCCCGTCTAACGATCTGAGGGAGAGAAACAATAGCAAGCAGGACAACTGTTGAGCTACAAACCCCTTCCACTTCCCGCAGGGCATCCAGTGCCAATAGACAAATAACCGACGAGATGCCAGTCTAACATCTATAAATGCGATGAGGCGCGTACAAAGCCAACGAACGATGCAAGCCTGTACGCTTTGGAAACCTGCGGATATTATACCTATTATTCCGGAGATCGCCTCTTTTCCTCATATGTAGAGGTTGTGCAAAAATGTGTATCCACATTTTCAATAAGTGTAAGCATATTGGTTATTATAAATTTATTAGTTTAAAAATGAAAAGAATATGAAGAAGAAAAGAAGAAAGAGGGTCGAACACCGGAACGATTTGTTTGTTATTCTGAGCTTTCTCTGTATTTTGCCTATTGAAACGGTGGCTAAATTGAGAGAAGCAATTGAAAATGAATGCACCCGAATACGAAGGAAATTGTTACAGGGTGTGTACTAATCCATTGCTTTGCATTGTCAGCAGTGTCATGATCAAAATAGACGTCAGTTTGAAAAAATTCAGTTAAAAAAAACAATTAAATGATACCTGTAAATATTTTAACATTTTATTAATAATAAAATTATGATAAACACCGATTTTACAATTATGTAAAAAGTGTATGCTTTTTTGGGACTACATACATATGCATATGCATATATTTATTTATTTACTTCAGCTTTTAGTTTAGTTTTTACTTCAGTTGACAAGCGGCGATAAATGTAAATACCATACGTTTTCAAGCGGCGAAAATGTCTGCTCCGCTTAACTTATTTGGT